AAATTCCCAAATTCCCAACTTCCCAAATTCCCAAACCTTGAATCCCCAAATTTCTACTTCTCTTCCTATATTAGCACTTTCGTTAAGAAAGCATATCGTTCTCCATACTACACTCATTTCTCGTTTATATAACAATCTCTCATAGAGAGATCCTCACAGAGGACCCAGACTCACCTTACGCCTTACCTAATTACCTTAACAAACATAATTACCCATTTCTGCTATAGCAATCAAGCGCAAACAAACGTTCATTCAATACATATTGTTCTCTCAAATTCTATAAAACACACTCCTAAAATTTATCCAACTTCTGTGCAATAATAAGATTCGCAATAATATTAAATAATTAACATTTCACACTACAGTCATACAGTAATGTACTTTCACAATGTATGTATGCGTCATAGCAATATTCGAGTGCTTCAATATTCGAATAAATCAATAATCAAGATAACTTTCGCCATTGAATTTCTTCAATTTTGCCGTTCCGAGATTGTTTCCGGCATAGCAAGGCAAACACGGCTTTATCGCGACGAATTACGCGAATTGGCCCAGTATTCTAACCGCGTAACGACGTGAAATCGTATCGAGGAACGCAAGAAATCGACCGGCTGCGTTGGAAGTCAGCTTTCGCTGAAAACTCAAAAAGAAGTTTCGCTTGGAGGAAGTAGGAGGGTAAAAAAAATATAGGAAACCACAGGCATTCGAATCGGACCGATAGACACAACTTATTTACGTCCTTGCTTATCGAATGCTATCAAGATTTACCTTCGAACGCTTTACGCTCGGTGGATTTAAAGGTAATTGCATAATTGGGAGTACGTTGGCTTTGCCTTCTATTATCTGATTATTAACGGACTAATTAATTGAACGGAGTGTTTTATTGAATTTCGGAGAATGGTATTTATTTTCAATTATGGGCTTTGTGGTGGGTGATAAAGACGCAGTTACACGTTCTTTGTAGGTTGTTAATAGATTCTTTTGTGAGTACATTGTTCTTTTGTGTTACATTGTCTTCATTTTTTTTAGTTTTAATATTTTACTGTTTTGTTGGTTTGTTTTTACTGATTTATCATTTTCCTGTTTTATTTTTTTTAATTTTGATACTTTACTGTTTCTGTCGTTTTATTGGCCAGCTTTTTTACTGATTTATCATTTCACTGTTTTATTTTTTTATTTTTTAGTATTTTACGATTTCTGTTACTTTACTAATCCATTTTTTACTGATTTATCATTTCACTGTTTTATTTTTCTATTTTTTACTATTTTACTATTTTCTGTTACTTTACTAATCTATTTCTTATTGATTCATCATTTGACTGTTTTATTATTTTATTTGTTACTGTTTTAGTGATGTATTATATTAACGTGCTAATATTTTATCATTTTGTCGTTTTAACAGATCAATATTTTATTGCCTTTAAGGTTCACTATTTTACTAATTGTATTATATCACTATGCTAATGTTTTACCATTTTATCAAAATTTTGAATATTTTGTTATTTTATTATTCTCTTTCCTGCTAGTTTGTAATTTTTGTATTTCATTATTGTATTTTCCTACTAGCTTACCATTTTACTACTTTATTATTCTACTTTCTACTGTGTTACTGTTTCACCATCTTATTATTTCATTATCCTACTTTCTATCATGTTATTATTTTACCATGTCAATATTATACTACGTTATCATTTGATCATTGTATCATTTCACTATGTTAATATTTTATTATTTTATTTCCTACTATTTTACCATGTTAATATTACACTATTTTACTATTCTATTATTGTACCATTTTATGTTAATATTTTTCTATTTCACATTTGTATTTCATTATTCTATTTTTTATTATGTTATCATTATACTACTTTTCCAATGTTTTATTATACTATTTTATTATTTTATTAGCGTACCATTTTGTGTTAATATTTTACAAATTTTATATTACTATTTCATTATTGTACCTCCTACTATCTTATCACTTTACTACTTTACTATTTTAACACATTAATATTATTTTTCTTCTACATTGTATCCTTCTCCTATTATACTATTTAACCATTATATTACTACACAATTTTCCCATTTTCCCATTTTACAATCCAACAACCCCACTATTCCTTTCATCATACCCCTATATCTCCATATCCTCAAACATTCGCATAATAAAACTGTCCAATTAATTAATTTAATTCGTGATACTTTAAGTTGTGCTACTTCAAGGCGCTAACAAATAAAAAACATGCGAATGTAAGAAAAAAATGATTCAATTTAAATCTTGTTCAGCCATAATCTCACGGTAATTACCTCAACAGGTGATAACATCCTCCGATCAGGTGTTGTAAACGATCGAGATAAGAACCGGCGAGTTCTCGATCGGAATAAAGATCGTGGATCACTTTCTCATTGCGTATACCGCGGATTCTCCTTTCACTTTCTTCGTTACCCGATACAACCCGTCTCCGACTGATAGATCTGATTTTACATGCTTTCGATTTGCAATACACTCTCCGTGTCAACTATCCGCTTTACCAACGAAGCTCACTCATGTTATTACAGTACGAAATAGATTCGAACACTGATCGTATAATTAGTTTCTCGATAATTATACCTTCTACCTCCGTAACTCCGTGATTCCAAAATCTCTTACTAATTACTATTTAGATTACTTCTGCTGCTGTGAAAAGTGCATAGTCAAATTATATTTAATTGAATTTTCGAGTGAATTTTTCAATTCATGATTTATAATTGTTTTTTTATTTTAATTTTTAGTCTAGTTTTAATTGGACGATTTTGTAACAGTAAGTAAATAAATAGTTTTTGCGGAAACAATTTTCTTATGCAATTAGATTATATAAATCTTTAGATTGTTATAGTTTTGTGTGAATTTTGGAATGAGGAGATTGTAGTTGTATTGTGGAGGTGTAACTGTAACATGAGTTTTTAGGGTTTGTTAAATTTATTTGAAGGTTAATTTCAATTATTTATTTTTGTAACTTTAGTTCAGATTTTTTGGATAATTCATTGTAGAGTCAAAGCTATGTCAATATTCCTTAAAGTTCATTAAAATAAATTAACGATTAATTTTAATTATTTATTGTGTAAGTCGAGTTCAATTTTTTGGACAAATTATTATAGAGTCATAGCCTTGTCAATATTCTTCAAAATTCATTAAATTAATTCAGTGATTAATTTCAATTATTTACCTTTGTAACTTCAGTACAATATTTGGAATAATTTATTGTAGAGTTGTAACTATACCAATGTTCTTCAAAATTCGTTAAATTAATTCAAGAGTTAATTTCCAATATTTTCCTTTGTAATTTCAGTTCAGTTTAGTGGACAATTTATTGTAGAGTCACTACTATACCAATATTTTTCAAAATTCATTAAATTAATTCAAGAATTAATTTCAATTATTTATCTTTCTGATTTGTGCACCATTTTTTGGATTTTGAAGTTCAAACTGAATGAACTAAAACATACTCCTTACACATTTTTCATATTTGTTAAACAAAATTATAATACTATTCTATCAAAAAGCATAAAATAATATGTACTAAAAAAAATGTATTATCCACGTACATAGTTACTAAACATACCACAAATTTCTATCTTTTTTTCCTTGTTTCCAAGCTCATTTTAATTATTGTACTTCGAAATGATTCAAGATTCAACCTACTCTTTCTTTCCTTTTACAAGAAATGTTGAAACAAGAACACGTTCTTTTAAAGTAATAGAAGTCTAGATTAGAGTTCTGCACGGGGATTTTAAATGCTGTAATTCTTACGTTAGATCGTGTATTTTTATGCACTCGTTGTGTAATGAATTTCCTCAAACGTGGCCTCACGAAAGTGCCTTTTATTGTTCGTTAACGCGTTCACTGCCACGTGGGTTTCCTCTCTGGTTTAATAGAAAATCTTACAATTTTCGATTCCTAAAATTCTAAATTTACAGATTTTCGAACTGTGCATTTTTAAAATTTTTGAAGGAGTCAATTTTTAGAATTTTCAATTTTCAGAATTTTGCAAATTTTTGGAAGGCTTGATTTTTTTATATTAGACTGATTAATTTTTTAAATTTTCAAATTTCCAAATTTCTAAACTTTCAAATTATCAAGTTTCCAAATTTCTACATTTTCAAATTTCCAAGTTTCCAAATTTCGAAACTTTCAAATTTCCAAGTTTCCCAATTTCTACATTTTCAAATTTCCAAGTTTCCAAATTTCTAAACTTTCAAATTTCCAAGTTTCCAAATTTTTAAACTTTCAAATTTCCAAATTTCTAAACTTTCAAATTTCCAAGTTTCCCAATTTCTAAATTTTCAAATTTCCAAGTTTCCAAATTTCTAAACTTTTAAATTTCCAAGTTTCCAAATTTCTAAATTTTCAAATTTCCAAGTTTCCAAATTTCCAAACCTCCAAATTTCCAAATTTCTGAGAGTTCCAATTCTCAAATTACCAAATTCCCTAAAGTCCCATGTCTCAAATTACCAAGTTCCTCAAAGTTCCACTTCTCAAATTACCAAATTCCTTAAAGTCCCAATTCTTAAATTACCAAATTTCTAAAACTCCCAATTTTCAAATTACCAAATCCCTAAAACTCCCAATTCTCAAATTCCCAAGTTCCTCAAACTCCCACTTCTCCAATTACCAACTTCCCAAAACCCCTACTCTAAAATACCTAAATTTCCAAACATCCCAAATCCCAAATTCCATTTTCCAAAGCCTCCAAGTCCTCAACTCCTCAATTCCTCAAATTCCTAACTCCCCAAACCCCCCTAAAATCTGAAAATCCAAAGATATCCGCACGGTGCACGTCGCCCCTGAACTCTCCGGGCACAAGATCTGTTCACCACGAACTTGCACAACACCCGGAAATTTGCTCGAAACTTACAACCTTGTATCTTTGCATCGCGAGTCCAACTCATCCTCCCATACTCATACACCAATTCCAGTTAACCTTGGGTCCGTGAAGACCCGAGGGTTGAACCACACTCACCCGTACATTCTTCGCGTGCTCCACGTTGACGATCTTCAAAAGTTTCGCACGAACGAAAATTTATCGAAGAACAGGACACTTCCGTCACACTTTGTCACGATCGTCGAACCGGTCGAAAAAAGAAGCCGATAACCGGAAGAGTCGAGCGAAGGAAGCTCGGTCAGACGAGTCCAACCGATCACCACTTGGTCCGATCGAGTCGATAGTCAGTTAATTCTACTAGCTGCGACTATCGTGCAGTGACCACTGATGTCGAGTGATTGTTGGTTAGAGACTTACTGACCGAGTGTCTGATATAATGGCTGGTAACCTGGCTCCGGTGTCCTACCGTGTGTAGTTCTTTATCGAACACGTAGGGTCCACATGGTGGTGGTGGAAAGCTCCCCAAAAGCCCCGTACGTGGAAGGGGAGGGGAACGGTGAAGTTAGCTTACTTCGTGGGTAACAACCTCCAGGTGAGAGAGAACACGAACGGTTAACGGAGAAACACGTGGAAAAGGGAGAAGAAGAAGAAGGGAGAGGAGGCGTAGACTGCCGTCCACGTTTGACTTTCCTTTCTCTAAACGAGCCGCCGGCTGCTGCCCTCGATTCGAGACATCGATTGTGTCTCCGACTGCTCCGAAATATGTATGTGACGTCGAGAGAGGTAACGAGCCACACGATCGGGATCGAATTAATCGAAATATGCGTATATTTTTGCTCGTTTTTGAGCTTCGGGTTGTTGGTTTTTATGGGAGGCTGTTACGCGCTGGTAGGAAGATAGCTGGGAGGGTTGCAGATTGTTATTTTGGTTTTGATGTTTTGTCGTTAGAGTATTTTACTATTCTGTGGTGACATTTTGTACCGTTTTGGTATTCTAGTTTTTAGCGCTCTATTAGTGCGGTAGTTCACTGTTTGTGTTCTGCAATCTTACGCTTCCGATAGAACACTTATTTAAATATTTCACTGTTTTAATAATCTGCAATTTTGCTGTTTCATTGCATAATTGTATTATTATATAACTATTTTGATATTATAGTATATCAGTGATTATATTACTATTTTACTAATTCTATTATACAACTATACTGTTATTTCATTTGTGTATTTTACTATTATTTCTATGATACTATTATTGTATTATTATACTATATTACCATCAAACTATGCTAATTTTCCTCTATGTATTTTGCAACCATGACGCTATCTTACATTCTGAAACCCCTACATTTTGAAATCCCTATATATTCTCAAATCTCTATGTACCAAAATCCCTATATCACGAAATACCTATATCCCTAAATTCCAAAATCCTTAGATGTAAAAAATTCCTAGATGAAAAAATCTCTATATCCCACAATCCCACTAAAATCTCTAGATCTAAAACTTCCTACATCCCAAAATCCCTAGACCCCAAAATTCCTCGATCCAAAACTCTCTACATCCCAAAATCCCTAGACCCCAAAATTCCTAAATTCCAAAATCCTTAGATTGCAAAATCCCTAAATCCCAAAATCCTTAGATTGCAAAATCCCTATATCCCCAAATCCCTACATCCCTAAATCCCTATATCCCCAAATCCCTAGATTCTAAAATCTTTAGATTCCGAAATCCCTAAATCCCAAAATGCTTAGACCCCAAAATCCTTAGGTCCCAAAATCCCTATATCCCCAAATCCCTAGAT